TGCGTTAATTTTATGAAGTTCTTGTAGATTGTATTTACAGTTATTCCCACATCTTTATCTGTTGTTATAATTGGAGTGTTTTTCACAACTCGTGCCTTCCTTCAACGAATATTTATCTACGAATTATGATCCTTCTGTGAAAAATAACTTTCGTCGTCTGCAGAAGAACGAACTTGTTCCTAAGAAAACACGGGTAGATATTCTCTTTCTACAAAACTGTCAAGATCTTCACATTATTCCTAGTTTTCTTCACTGCAAATTAAAAAGTTTTAGTTTCTAATCTGCCAAAATAACAAGATCAATGCAATACAAACTCTTTCGTGAACATATCCGTGAAAATTGCAGACTGTTATCAAAGTTAAACAGAATTATTCCTCAACAACATCAAAATTTAAAGAGAATTTTGACTAAAAAATATGACGTAGTTTTGCAACTTATAGATGATAATATTATTAACATGAGAAAAGGTAACTGATAAGCTTGCTAAGAAATTTGAAAGACTAAAAAATAAGACACAAAAAACAAAATTTCATATCTTTAGTGAATAGGCCTACCTTCCTTCCATTACATTGTAAAAAACGAGTCGTTTTTTAAACTTTTCAACCGCCGGATACACTGGGGAAATTAAATGATTATAAAAAGGTTTCAATTTTGCTATTGCACCCAGAGATTCTGAATTACATTCAGGTTTAAAAGACTAGGCTAAAAAATAGCTATTCAGGAACGTTTTAGTTCACAAGTAAACCCACCACTTCTCATGTCGATTCGAATTGAAAACCTTATGTTACAAGTTCTTGTGAAATCGTTCACGAAAATGCAAATAATCAAGATATTTCGTTAAATAAATAAAGCACTCTCCCCCGAAACTTATAGTTAATATTGTGTCTTTTCCTGAAATTCCAGAAAACCGTCAAATTTTGCTTATTCTTCAAGCCTTTCGTTCACGATTTTTGCATTTTTTGACAAATCTAAACTGCTAAAATCAAACCTTTCTCCAAAAGATCATAAAGCAATAAAACTCTTATAAAATGAAGAAAGTACAATTTTACTGAAACCTGACAACTGTTATGTTGTTGTTATCATGTATCGGATAGTAAACCAGCAAAATATGCCCACACTCCTCGATGATTCATCTCATTTCCAAAAAAATAGAAACAAACTGACCGCTTCCTGAAAAAAGGAATAAAAACTAATTATTTTACAGTTAGAAAAATATATTAACTTTCTACTGGAAAATATCAATTTCTTCGTCCCCCAGATTCCTGTAATTCTCAAATGTATGGTCTCCCAAAAATTCACAAACCTAATTTCTCCTTACGTCATATTGTTTCGACATACATGGCTTATAACTAGAACCAAGGAAAATTCCTCGCTTGGATGTTTTATAAATATGTTTCTCGTGCTTCCTCTTTTATATAAAAGTCTAAAATTTTTATCTAAAAACTCCGAGAATTTAGTCACCTTGTTAAATTAGTCACATTTGATGTAAAAAACCTGCCTAATCAAGCCTTTGTCTTTGAAGTAATAAATGTTGCCCTGGAATGTTACCAAAATGATTCTAATCCTTGTTTTCTCCTCAAAATCAACACCATAAGATAACTTTTCGACTGCCAGTGTGAATAACATCCAAACTGAAAGCCTGAGTATGGGAAATTATGTAGCTCCAGTACTTGCCAATATATTCATGATAATAATCAAAGAAATTACCATATCAAATTCACTTTACAAACTAATTTTGTGGTTTCGATATGCTGATGACATTTTTTTTCAGCCTTCGATAACCTTAACAATGTTCGTGAGATTCTCTTTTTTCTAAACCAGATACACCCAAACATAAAATTTTACGATGGAAAAAGAAGTTGATGACAAATTGTCATTTCTAAATGTTCTTGTTAAATTGAGAAACACAGGCTTCCAAGCCTCTGTATTTCTTAACAAAATACACTGGGCTTTATGCTCCTTAGGATTACTTTCATGACTAATGACAAAATGTAGGTATATTAAAAAATGCTATTCATACAAATATAATCATAAGTTCTAACATCAATTGTTTCGAAAAAAGAAAATTACAACCTTAGATTTCAGTTCTGTGTACAAAAAAAAATTACCTTCCTACTGTTTTTAATAAATTAATTACTTCCTTTGAAAATAAGCCACAAATTGACATAAAAATTATTCTTTCTTATGTTTTACCATTCCTCCCAAACTTCTCTCGGGCTATTCAAAAGGTTAAAAACAAAGGGTATACAACTGACATTAAAGTACAATTTATATTATTACCTGGGAAAAATCTTGATCAACTGCTATCCAAAACGTATATGGGTAATGATACTTCAGGTAGTGTGTATGCAATTGAATGGACGGATTGCAAAAGCTGTTATATACAAACAGACAGCTTTCTACTCGGTTGCGTGAACATTTAAAATCTTCATCTGATGTTTTTGAGCACATGTCTAAGAATAATCATTCTTTTGATTCTTTTAAGGTAAAAATTTTCAGCATAAAAGACAACATTAACAGACGAAAAATAAAAGAAACTTTATCTATAAAAAACGTAACCCTATTCTTAACAAATGTAAAGATGTTGATTTATATCTATTTTATTCACTTCCTTCCTTCTTGTATATAGACGAATTTTAATACTTACACTAAAGACTAGAAGCTTTATTTATAAATTCATAGTTTTAGCAGTTTATTGATAAATTAATTTATCATTTCTGCAACTGCTTAATCACATGCTTGTAGATTAGTGTTATTATAGATTATCACGTAATCCCCTTTTTAAAAAATAATTTATGTTAGCTTCAGTTCTTTTATCTCACTTGATGATGCCGTAAACCTGGTGAAACGCTATAAGCAAAAGTTATACTACGTATAACCGATGAAATAACTTGTGTGAATCTATATAAATATAATAGTACTGTCTGTTGTATGTCCATGTGACAACTTCGCAGGGTGTGGTTGGATCTTCACCAAAATTAGTATGAAGGTTCATTAGGTGCATGCGGGGTACATAAAAGTTTTCAGTTTTGCATTTTGAGTTTTTGCGTTTTTTACCACTACTTTGTCCTCCATACATGGATCTTCACCAAATTTGGAATGGAGGTTCATTGGGTAAATAGGGAGGTACATGCAAATTTTCAGTTTTGCATTTTGCGGGATATATGGGCGTTTTTGTGTTTGTTTACCACTACTTCGCCTGTTGATGGATCTTCACCAAATTTGGCATGAAGATTTGTTTGGCCCATGTGGAGATACATGCAAACTTGCGGTTTCACATTTTGTGTTTTACAGATTTTTGGGGGCGTTTTTGCATTTATTACAATTACATATAAGGGAAACAACTTTTTATGTCCTAAGATAATCTTTCATTAATTATCAATTTATATAACTTCCTTCCCGGGGACGAGTATTTCAGCTAGTCTATAGAAATATAATAATGCTGTCTGTTGTATGTCCATGTAACTACTTAGCAGGGTGTAGATAGATCTTCACCAAAATTGGTATTGAGGTTTATTAGGTCTATGTGAGGGTACATACAGATTTTCAGTTTTGCAGTTTTTGTAGGCGTTTTTGCGTTTTTTACCACTAATTCTCGTAGACGGATCTTCTCCAAATTTGATATGGAGATTCATTAAGTCCATGGAAAGATACACACAAACGTTCAGTTTTACTTTTTGCCTTTTTGCAGTTTTTATGGGCATTTTTGCGTTTATTACCACTAC